TTATAATGCCGAAAACCCTACTAAGCCAGATGGATGAGTGAATTTGGAGCCAAAATTCGAGACCTGTTATCTTATGTCTGATTGGTTCGTTCATAAATTATAGTCTCGTCTTACCCATTCAACGTGTCTAGGTACTATGGTTGTTTTAAAGACCGTACAACACGAAGGACGCTAATACGGAAATATATTAGTAAGAATGAGTACAAAAAGGAGAGTGGGACTACCCCGCACGGGCCAGTCCATAACATATGATTAACTGATGCGCATTGGGGATCGATGAACTGTTTCATATTCAGTGACCCAACTGCCGGATGATTTGGCTAGGGCTTAGTGACATTTCGCTGGTCCTACATGTCACTTGTTGATGTATACTGTCCTCACAATGTATTTTAAACAAACAGATAAAATAATCCCAATAGGATGTTAGATGGTTCTAGATAATTGGCAAGAAATTCTGTGCGTAGTGGTTGAACAAGTCCGAACTAAGTTAATAAGGCACAACTATCTGTAGGATTCAATTTTTCATCATCCAGTTCCACCATCTGAGATGTTACCATTAAGTTTTTCAGGACATTTACGACTAATTGATTACTGAGTATTGACCAATGTTTGTCTAGTCCTATAGCACTGATCAAACTCTATCTCTCAAGATAATAAATGTTACTGAAGGAAAGAACAATCGAAATCGGACAAATAAAAAGAGTAACTAAATGAATTTCATAGTTAAAGCATTTTAATATTGAAATCATATAGGTTTAATAGGAGAAACGCTCTGAAGTACAAATTCTCTAAGCACTATGGTTTCACGTAAATTTAAGTTTTACTAAAACGTTTTCAAGAATGTAAACAATTTAGTTTATATTGGAGTTATTTGCGAATAGCCCCCAAATACCCTGGCACGGCCAAGACTGGGGAGAGTCAGCTCTCCTTCTCGAAATGATCTCAAGTGGACACGAGTATACAACCACTGTCCAACAAGTTCAACTCACTGCATTACTGTTGTTTACGGAATTGAGAGGACGAAAATAGAATGTCCGGCTCTCTAACCGGATTGGTGGTTGTGGAGGATCTACATAGGAGAGTCGGGAAACCCTAATTCCAAACCAATAATGCATATGGGTTCCAGGATCCTGGACGAACAAATGGCGTATGCACCAATCGTTGGTCACCGGCTACGATGGGAGCGCATCTCCTAACGTTGCTCTACTGCCATGTGGATTAGACCTTTAGGTCAAAGGCTCCGGGCGTGGCCCCACTACTTAAACTACCTGTTTCGGGCACCCGAGCAGCATCCCAGCCCTCACGCAAATCAAATGATTTATATGGCGCATATCTATTTAGTGCATCCAATATGTCTACGGATCCTCTCTAATGTAAATGTGACATTACCTTTTATTTAACTGAATGCTTCTAGGTAGTACATATGCATTTTTTTAATTATAATTCTGGAAACTAAGTTGCATAATATGTTCTCAACATTAGGAATGACCCATAATAATGTTTTTTTCTTCAAGATGGAATGAACTATAGGTCTCTGTATTCTGTTCACTTTATCGTAGCTAATGAATTTTAGTGGTTAGTTATTATCAATAGTGTCTGTAATTGCATATTCAATGAAGGGGATTAAATAACCAACTGATTTATTTAGATTTCTACTGAATTCAATAAAATTATGAGACTTACTGACAAAATCAGATAAGGATTGCACTATATGAGATAGATTGACTTAAGATGAAAATATCAGGCATTTGGTTCTAACTAACTGTTCATCGTTGAACTTGAAGGTAGTATGGTTAGTTCTGTGTATGGATTCATGAATGTGCAATAACAAAGAATAACAAATTAGAAGGAAACAATTTTTTTCGCCGTCTGATCTTTAGTTTTAGTATCAGTTCATGATAATAAACATGATATTCTGTATGGAAATCTTCACAAATTCACCCTAGTGAATAATTATCAATAGATGAGTTCAATTGTATAAGACGTCAAATATGTAAAACTGAGTCACTTAAAACTGTTAATATTTGAGCATACCATGGGAGTCATTAATAAACGATTAATGTTGTGTTTGTCTTCATGTAAGATTGAAATGTTTACAAATTAATTAGTTTTACTGACGAATGCCAACTCAGTCAGTCAGCAACAACGTAGAACTTCGTACGCACATATATCAATTCAAGTTACTATAGCACATTAGCACAGAGATTCAATTGTCGATTAAAATTCCGTAGTGGCAGAAGTAGTAAGAGTATAAACACTAATCGGAAACTTTAGGGTTTGAAGAAGTTATTCAAGGGGTGTAATTCAGTGAAATAAATTTGGAAAGAAAAAAAAGTGGGGACATGAGGAGTTCAGAAGATTAGAATTTGGGAGAACACAAAGAGTGGATGCACATGTGCCATTTCAAACGATTTTGAGCCATGTCATTCAAGGTCTCTAACCATCGGTTGCTATCGTCTCGCGGATCCCAACCAGCTAGTCTGAACCTACCAACAAGGTTCAATCCACTTGTCAATGACTTCATGGATGTGTGCCATGTTTTGATTTGGCCACCCTTAGCTTTCAACCTACTCCTACACCATAAAACACGTCAGGGAAGTCGATGGTTGGGCGTACGTAACACATGTCCCAGCCATCTCAACTGATGAAGTTTCACTCCACTACGATTAATATCACGAATGCCAACTAGTTTTCTGGTGTTGTCGTCTCCAACCATTTATTATCGAATAAAGTTGACAGCAGTAATATTGCGTCAGTTAACTTAGTATAATATAGCAGTATATATAATTCAATTGGTTCACCAGATTATTTGTTTAAAATACCCAAGTTATTGTTTTAATCCTAAAAATAAACACTAACAACAAGTTTTATTTATTTTATTTCAACACATAGATATTGGTACAAAGAAGCACCAGATACATATGCGCCACACAAATCTCATTCGATATGTATGAGGGCTGTGATACTGCCCGGGTGCCCAAACCGAAGCAGGAACAACAAAAGAGATTACAAAGTAATTGACTACAGTTAACATCTTTTCTATTTTAAGTACTAGGTTTCCCAGTAAATAAAAGGGACGTTTCATGATTTACAAACTGGCTATAGAACACTAGATACTTGTTTCTTTCCAACCTGATATTCCACAGTAGTGTAAACTTACAGAATTACCAGGGGTTGAAACCAGTTCCTTTAGGTCACGTAATGAGGAGAGGTTATTTTCAGTACAATATCCAGTAATATGCTTGTCCAAACTATGTTAAGTCATGCTTATTGCCCTCTGATGCTCAATAGTATATGAAGAAAATATTTTAGAGCTGAATTAATCACTATAAATAACTTAAATAAGTTGATATGTTGGTTACATGGCTTTTATTATATTAGCTAATGCGTTATTTGTACTTCTATATAACAGTCAGTCCGTCAGTAACAACGCAGAACTTCGAACGTAGGAGTGTCAAAATTTACTATTCAAATAAACTAAGTACTTTTATACTGCTATGTACTCTCCTGCTAACTAACTACTTAATTAGTTTGGTAAGTGTTTCATCTTATTGATGATTGTTATTACCTATAGGAACGAGAGTTTGCTGATAAGAACTACAGATGAGTGCGAAATAAAAAAAACTGCATTGTCTTCAATAATAAAACTGCAGTTAGTGTCAACCAGTTGAACAGTGAGAGAGGGAGAAGAAACAGGAAGTATCTATTCAGTTTCAAGAAACACCGACATAAACTGTACGATTGTGTACATGGTTAGTTCACACTGTGTTGATCTAATTGTGATACTTAAGTTGTAAGGATTTTCTCGATTTATGAAATGGGTATTCTTCCTTTTAAACAAATTATGAAATTGAGGAAACTGAATTCACTGCCACATAAATGCAACGGTTCAAACCGTGACAAATAGGCATTATCAAGGCAATTCGCCAAGTAATCAACAACGGGATAATTCACGCTCTTTCTAGGAATAACGTAGTTAATAACTTCATGGACTGATGCCAGGTCTTGGTTTGACCACCTACACATTTATTTCACCCAACATCTACATCTGTTAACATTGTCAATCGAGGTAGGCAGTCGCTGTACATACGTAATATACACTTATAAATGTGTTACTCGAGTAATTTAAATTAAAATGCATTAATTTCTGTTGTCGCCGGAATAACTATTTATACAAGTTTTAGTAAATATATAATCCTTTCCTTTAAAAGATTGTATTTAAATACTTTATAATGGACATGGTTACCTCCTAATGATGTGAAGTGGCTAAATACTCTCATCAACGATAATGTATGTTCATGGGAGAGGGAAGAGTTACGCGGAAATGCATCAAAAGTAAAAACTTTACATCGGAATTCCACTGCTAGATTTTATTCTCTGTAACTAAGAAAGATTTCCTTCTATAAAGTTTAGAGAAGCATATAAAAAGTATTTTGAAATTGGTTACTCTGGATAATATTTTAGACCCTAGACATGGACTACAGCTTGACCATTCTGCTTAGTGAAAGTTATCGAATAGACAAAAACTCATGTGTAAACACATTTACTCCGAAGATAAGACTTGAGGGAACTGGAGTATCAGATATTGTTTACTCTCCTTCAACGATGACAAAAGTATGACCATAAAAACACGTCTCGGGTAATGGTTATCTTGTCAAGAATCTCCTTAGATGCACCGAGATCTATTCTGCTTATAAACCAATAACCACTTCTAATTTGCTTCGCAGTAGAAATATCTAACCTCAGATATTGGTAAGTACAGGACTTGATCAATCTAGTCCGGAATAATAAAAACATGATCAACTTAATCTTCTCATACGTAACGCAATGACAGACATGGACCAGTTAGTTGGGGTCCGCCAGATTACGGTAACATAGAATCTGGTAGCAGGTGTCTCCACTCCTTGTTTTTTTAAAAACAACTTGAGTGCCGAAATCTCCCTACACCTTTTTCCTCTTTTCCATCAAATCTACCAACTACTATCTTAGCAATTACAAGATACAACAATAAGCAGTGTTTATTGAAATGCGGGAATGATTAATTAATATAGGATGATACATGCGTAGCAAAATTTATCCACCGGTGATTATCATAAATGTAACAAAAATAGTAGAAATACAAGCAGTTACAAAAAACACCCCAAGCAAATATCAGTGTTCATTTGAAGGCGTTAGGGTAGTCGTTTATAATTGCGAATGGCAGTAACGTCACCAACAGTCACAGTCTAAAAGGGAATACATATTAGGAGTGAGAAAATATCAGTTACCGTTTTCATAGTATCACCATCCACTTCACGAACGATTACAGTTGTGTTTTTGGGATCTACTTGAGTTTGCGTTAACTTCGACTCGGAATTTTTTTCGACAACTGACTATAAGGGAATAAAGCAAATAACAGGAGTGAAAATATAGTTCTTTCATTGGGAGTAACGCGTTTGATAATTGCTGACTATGGCAGTAAAAATGTAGTGCAATGAGTATTTCTGGGCTTTTGGTCTTTGGGTTATGAGTTACAGCTACTTCCTAACATATATATTTTGAAATTAAATCTACTTGTATCATCTCATTTACTGTTTTGGTTAATTAAGCGTTAGTGTGTGATGATTGAAATCAAGAAATAACCTCAACAATACATGCAACTAATCGTGGAAGGCTTTAACATTAAGCCGATGTCTGATTAATGATTTACTCTACATCACTGATTATCTCTGAACCTATTGGGGAATCAAAGAAAGAACATGTAAAAAGGCAAATCAGTTGATAAATATACACAAATACATGATTTGGCGATTAGAAGTCACGATTCTGATATGAAGGAACGAATGACAAATTAGATTAACCCCCATGAATTTACATATGATCAAAGGAATGTCTAATAATTTAGCTATTGTGTCTTAGTAACTAATAGACCTTTAAAGCACATACATACTAAGAAGCCAAAAGTTTATTTACCTTGACGTTTCTGCCATCACTTGTTTTTTCTTCGAATTCCTCGCCGAACTTGAAAGTACAAGAAAGATTCTTGAAAGTTGACTCTGTTAACATGGTCATTTTATCCCCATCCATTGTGAAGGTTACAGTCGGTGTCACTGTGTTCCCAATCTGTCGAGTTGCCCATGAGACACCTAAAAGGAAGATATAACTAAATTAAAACTCCCTATTTAGTTGATAAAAAAATACTATGAAAGTATATAGGGAAAAAAACCGAAAATATGATGTGGTCAAGACAAAAGCAACGTCATACTTTTAACATTTAACCAATGAACAAAAAATACGGACAATGTATGCAGATAAGTTTTAAGAATTAAAAACAATTGTCTCGTACATGAGTGAAGGTTTTGCTGTGTAGACTTCATTGACACTGAGAAATAACACAGGAATTTCTGATCAAGAAGCAGTCGTTCCCTAATTAGATTTCCGATAGGAAAGTTTGTGCATTTTCAGTTGGATTAACCTCTGAGATTTCCCAAAGACATACATTATTTTGGTCTTTACTGTGATTAGTTCCTTTACGATTTGATTACCGAAGTAATATTTCATTTTGAATAGGGAAAAAAGGTTAGACGGTTATATGTTGAGGATCTGCACGGGTCACTACCGAACCACACAAGACGTACAATAACACGGTTTTGGAAAATTAAAGATAAACAATTCTACAACTCAGAGGGATATGATACTAGCAACATGAGTAACAGCAAAAATCATAAATATCTTACATTCGCCCGGAGATGTATAAAACCATAAACTTTAACACTATGTAGTTACCTAGCTTTGACATGACAGCATCGAAGTTGTGTGACTCGCTAAGTTTCCATTTTCCCAAGAAAGAAGACATTGTTTTCGACTAGTTTGATGCTTCTGAAGCGATTGAACGGTCACCGACTTTTAGCTTATTGTAAATTTGATGATCTGGTGAAGGATCTGTAAGGTACAAAAAGTCCAAACGAACGATAATAGTTCAGTTATTATTAAATTCATTACAAAAGACAAGATACTCTCGCAGAGGTATCAAATGCAGATCTCAGTCTAAAATGACCAGTGTCAGCTGCTTTCCTACCTAACAAAAACTTATTAGTCATATTATTCCCAAGATAATTGCAATGGGATACACAAGAGCTACTGACCATGTATACAACAAAACCGTTTGTGAAAATTTATCAGAAGCAACATTAATAATAATAGATAACGATTCGTAAGAGCTTCTCAACGATGGTATGTTGTTAAGGGTGGCACACAATTACTGGATGAAGGATTTGCTTAGTAGGTGACCATGGCTTGGCCGCTTAACTAATTTGGATAAATTATTTATACACGACTGTTTGCTAGTAAGTGAATGTAGATTGCATATTCAGTAGCTGATGACAGTGTGGTTCTGTGAATGTCTTCAGTAAGACTCCGCAGATAAGTTCAGTTTTAAAACAATAAACTTAACCAAAATCAGCAACTATAACAGACGACCCACCTAACTCTGACTCACTCGAGATTGATTAGACGCCAAAACTGTTACCTCTCAATTTGTCCTTGTAAACTTATGTGCAAAAACAATTGTAATATTTCACTTTTCAATATTACAAATGGACTTAGTCACTTTTCAGAAGATAAAGCTTACGGCTAATCGACTTGTATTATTCAAGATCAATAGTTCTTTGCATCAAGTTTGAAGGAAATACGTCAAGTATTGGTGGAATGTTATTGTGAGACTCTCTGTTTTTTTTATTTACATATTTGTAGTCTGTTAAGTATCTGAGTTATAAATATATATACAAATATATTACCACTTGATTTTCTTAACAATAATTCGAGGCCCACGTTTTGTTTCAATTGTCAGATAATCTTACTTCAGTGGTCTGTTAATGTTCACGTTTTGTTAATTATATCAAATATTCACTCGTGATACTCTGGCGTCCAGTAATGTTCGATTAATCGATAAATCGAAAATATGAGGTTCTCACTCCCATGGTGTTGAGGCAACGCTTAAGTTACAATTGATTATGTGAACTCTACGTAGCACAAAATTACTCTCAGTGGTACAGTATCGTAAAAGAATGTTCTCTGACATTTATTACAATAATAAAATGATTGCGTTGTATGTTAGGATTCTCACTTTTGATAACTAAATGCAAGACCTCAGGCGATAAAAAAACGAGACCAACTATTTAAAATTTTGCTAACAACTGAAGCGTGAACTGATTCAAGGAAAAAGCATACATTACTTGCATCCGCTTATATTTGCTCTGCTACTTTGGAAAACTGACGTCCACAGTGCTGCACGCTTTGTACTCAAGCATCAAACAATTTTTTAACCCTATGAGGTAACGGTGAACTTGTGACCCCAAAATAGTGCTTTGGATATAATTTTTTGTATACCGTGCCTATCGTAGCATTGCTCTACTGCAGCTTCATTGTTGATCTCCCACACTACACTGGCTTAGCTATCTAAGTTTACTGAATTGTGTCGTCACCTTGAGGATGATACAGGATTTATTTACCGCTACAACCTCTCCTCTCAGCTCACCAAGTGGGAGCCAGCATAGCTAAGTCCCAATCAATGTGACGACAAATTACTAAATTGGTATCTTGCAAGTACACCAAACACTATCCTAAATAACTAACTTTTGTGTATGAATCCTTGCGGTGCAATGTACAGGCGGACTGTAGATATAACTCACTAAAAAATAGTAGTAAGACACATCATGGAGCTCAGACCCAGTAACTAATATAGCACTACCCTCCTTGACTCGGGATCGATTATAGGCTTTTTTCTCAATTTGCTATGATTGTAACGACAAGCCAAATCATGTTCATGATATTCCTAGTTTCCCGAACGACGTGATAGCCGACTATGCTCTCCATATACACTATTTGTCAGTCGTACTATACTTTAACTACAGCAGGTGTTGAGTTCACTTCTTTGAAGATTCTTGTGGTCTCAAATCACAAGGAACCTCGAATGTCTTTAAAGATGCTCAAAATCTTCCCATTACAATAATATTGACAGGACCGCACACGTTCGTTACCGAACAAGTCCCGTTGATATAGCCTTTATTTATTCATAAAAATCAGCCAATTGAATCCATAACTCACTGGTGAATTAAAGAATAACGAAATTATTACAATTATTAGTAGGAACAAATTGAAATTAGTGAAGTATCCACAGACAATCCACTAACTTGTTCTTGAGTAGCATTAGCTGCCCATTAAGCCTTTTGGGCTCGATGTATTTTAATTTTACCTGAGGGATCCGTCGTAGCGACTACAAACGCAAGGGTTCTAGAACCGAGCAAGCAATGACAACGGCTCTACTCTACTGGATAGGTACATTTAGTCCATTCAGGGAGGAATAATCAAAGTTGTCAAAATTAATGACTATTTCCGGCAAACCAGAGACAAAATTGTATCCAAAAGAGAATTTATATTAGTCAATTCAAGCAAGTTCAATCCAAGAGCAGTGAATCAGTATGACAGCCACCAAAATCAGTGTTCATGTAAGAAATGAGTTAATCGTCAGAGAATACTGAAGTAAGAATGACAGTTGAGAAAGCATCTGGAGTACCTCCGGGGCTACTGCCGGTTCCAAGCCCTGATAAAGGAGGAGTATTGGGCATGGAGTTAGCGTTCCCATCCCGTAGAAAACTTACTCGCTAAAAAAACGCTAACTAGAAAAGCATATTTAAATATCAGGAACAATATCCTTGGACCACAGAACTAATTTGATGGATAGAAAATTAATGAACAAGACGACAAGCATAATGATCATGGAGGGACGAAATGCTGATGTCTTGTAGAATGCATGTATGCGATATTTTCCAAATCCCACACAAACACACATAGGAACAGATCTTAAATTATATGCTCTTCGGAAACAAATCAATGGATATCTAAATGTTGTGTATTGTGAGACCACGATATGCCTACGCCCATCGTTTTCTGTTGTTTGTCGAATGTTTCGTTCTCGGCAGCACATGCTTAGTCAGTCAACCGGTTTAAAGAGAAAAAGTCTCTTTCGCTTTTCGATGGGGTACAAATGGATTTGAAATATTGATGCCATTGGTCTAGCTCAGTCGTAATAACATTTGATCGATCCGTGCTAACATCTTTCTTTTTGCAACGCTGTTTGTAGTCTTTACAGTGAATTCACGAGTCATGGTTGTAGCTCAGAGTAATTGGGGATATGTACAATTATGGTATACTATGATATTATTACTGCTCAAATAATAGACTTAATCCCAAAATTGCAGAGATGTCATGATGTAAGTGCCTAATCTATAAGGTCGTACGTGGATTTCACACCACTATCTACCTCGACTCATTGTAATGTAACAACCATGAGTATATGATGAAGACATTTAGGCTGGAGATAAAATAATATATTTAATATGAGTAAAAGTAAGTTGTACAGAGCGACCATGCCTGCAAGGCTGAGCCATGCCACCCAAATAATCAATTAATCCAATACCTTCTTTCCGTCTTTTCCATTTTGGGTTTTTCTCCGCGTTAAATGTTGAATATCTATTTCTCCAACTATCTCGTGTTCAGCTTTGAGGATTGTGTAGTTAGGGCCTAATGCCATTACAGATATACAGTGAAAGTGTTAAAATAATTGATTGTATTACTGTTATAGTGAAGACTTTAACCAAGCAACTTCTACTGTCATAGTGACTGAACTTGTTTTTGTTTCTGAAAAAATGTGCGTTATTATTTATTCATCTGTCCTAGTATGACTGGAGGTAGTAGTTAACTTACCTGTTCTCAGTTTGTCAGTCAAACATACAAACGAAGTAAATTCTAATGTCACTAATCAGTAATCCTACCGCCAAAAACGCACATTCTTTTGCGGACATTAAAGATTGAGTGCCATTTTACAATGTCAAGCGATTGATTGCTCTCAACTTGAAAGGGTAAAATCACGTAAACCAAAAGTAACAGAAACTGATCTAAAAGACAAGATCAGTTGCTATATATATGCTACAATCACATTGGAATTGTAAGTCAACGTACACTGTAACGCATTGTCTACAAATAGCAAATGTACGGATCTAAGAGCACTATTTCAACGGCCACAACATTCTTAATTAGAGAAAAATAAGAAATTGTATTGAGGATGATACAGGTATTCAGTGTTTGACAACGCTTCTACCAATAACACCTTCTAATATGCTTTGTTCCCACCGAGAGAAATCAAAAGACAGAGTCGAGGAGATCGGAAGAGTGTATTTGGCGATAACCAATATATCGGGAATCTCTGATCTAATCTGGCTAGTGATTGCGATTGTTGTCGAGCACAGCGTGACAGCACGTGATCTGGTGCGGATGCATGACCGAGCGCCTTCAGCTAGATGAGTCCACTAAAACATATGGTCAGCATCCAATGTCGAAAACCTATTGAGCTATTTAGTTTGGGGATTTATTTACCGCTACAGAGCACTCCCCCCCTAGTGGGGCAGTGATGACCCTAAGACGTGGCCAGCCAGAAGTTTAAACCCAACGAGTTTGTCGTTGGTAAACACTCTTCTGATAGCTTACTAAATTTAGCAGCGTCTGGTCGTCTTTCCTTACTATATGGGACCGGAGTACAACATAGTAAAAAAAAAAATGTACAATGAAAGTTTCGTATCCTCATAAACGTCATCGTTCTTTTCCAGCCGTCCTGGAAAAGAAGAAAGAAAATGTAAGTGCATGTCGAAAATACACTCGTATGTGCGTAAAAAAAAGGAAAATAAACTCATGAAAACGTAACAGCGTTAAAAAAATCGTTTTTTTTTTTTGTTGTTTTTTTTTTTTAAAAATAGAATTGAAAATATATAAGCCTATTTTAAAAAAAATTTTTTAATAATATAGAAAATGTCGAGAAGTGCCTTACGTGCAATAGTCATTTAAATGTTCTGGAAATCTTACTCTTCTTCCAGAACGTGTCGTTTTAAGTTTATTTTCGGATACTGTCGAAGTATCATCGTGTGTGTTGGTTGTCGGATGAGGTATTATAAGTATCGGAGTCGTGTCGTTCAATTGTACCGAAGGAAAATCCACGTAGATAGGATTTCCTTCTAAATACGCTGCTTTGAGGCGATTGATGCTGATGCTATCGTTGATTCCGTTCTTATCGATTATATAGTACTTCGGTTCGCGTTGAAGAACTTTGAAAGGTCCTTCGTATGCTGATTCGAAAGGTCGTCGATGCGAGTCTCGACGAACGAAAACGTGTGTACTATATCGTAACTCAGGTTGAATGAAAACATCAGTTGATTGAGGTCGAGTGGAAGCAGGTTTAACTGAACGCATTGCGTTTGTAAGCCTGTTCGTGTAGGAGGTTAGATCCATGCTCATTGAAGAGGATGAAGGATCCACGAATTCTCCTGGAAGTCGAAGTGTCGTTCCATAAACGAGTTGAGCCGCAGTGTATCCAATGTCAGCTTTCACTGCATTGCGGATACCTAGTAAGACGAGTGGAAGAGCGTCGGTCCACTGTGAAACGTTTGCAGCTGATAGTGAAGCTTTTAGTTGTCGGTGAAAGCGTTCTACCAACCCGTTTGCTTGTGGGTGGTAGGCGGTCGTTCGGAAGCGAGTGCTTCCTAATAGTGTGGTCAGACGATGGAAAAGTTCAGACTCAAACTGACGTCCGCGGTCTGTAGTGATGGTTGAAGGGCAACCGAAGTTTGCTACCCATCGTTCGACGAAGGTTCGGGCCACTGTTTCAGCAGTGATGTCCTTGATAGGTACTGCTTCTGGCCATCGAGTGAAACGGTCTACACAGGTTAAGAGGTAAGAGTATCCATTTGAATCTGGTAAAGGTCCTACCAAATCCAGATGA